TGCAGTTTCTGCTTCTTCATTTGAGAAGTGTCTATTCATTTCAGATGTCCATTTCTTGACTGGATCTTTGAGTTTGGTGGATCTGATTTTTTTTTTTTGAGTTCTTTATATATTCTAGATAGGAGTCTTTTGTTTTAGGTACAGTTGACAAAATTTTTTTCCCATGCTGTGGATTGTCTCTTCACTCTATTGGTGATTTTTCTTGCTGTGCAAAAGCTTTTTAATAAGATGAGGTCCCAGTTGTTGGATCTTTGAGATAGTTCCTGTACAGTCAAGGTTTTGTTCATAGTCTTTGCTTACACCAATGTCTTTAAGAATTCTATCAATTCTATCTTCCAGCAGATTTAGTGTTTCTGTTTTGATATTTAGATCTTTGATCCATTTTGATTTCAGTTTGGTGAAAGATATGTGTCTAGTTTTAGTCTTCAGCATATGGAAAGCCCGTTTTTCCAACATTGTTTATTAGAGGGTATCTCTCCTCTAGTGAAGGTGTTTGACTCAACTTTGTAAAGACGATTATAATTTAAAAAGAATAGCAAAGTTAAACACACTTTATTTTGGAGTAAAAGAGATTCATGTGGTTTTAGACATTGACAAGACTAAGTAAGAGAGTAACATAGATGGTGAAGCTTCCCAAAAGAGTTATTAAGGAACCTAGAACGGTCAGGGTTTGAGGACTGAACTGATTAGAAGAAAGAGAATGAGGTTACTGAGAAAAAGTTTTGAAACAGGAGGAATTTGAAAAGTTTACCTAGGAAAACTCCCAGTTGTCTAGGTAAGCAAAACAATCAACATGCTAAGATTGGTAGCCTTGAAAATAGCAAACTGAACTTGAGGTACTATACCTTTTTGATGATAAATACTGTTTGTTAAACTACTCATGTCTTTCACCAAATACATATTAACCATTCTGTGTAGTAAACATTACTTAGGATCCTTAGGATTTTATCTTTGGACAAAGTAAACAAAATTCTCTGCCTTTGTGAAAGTTATAGATAAATGCATCAAAGGAGACATATACATTATTTTAAAATAAACATATGAGATAAAATAGAGCTACTTGGGTCTGAAAGGTGAAGAAATAAATGAGAAGTTTACCCAGATGGGACTGTAATTTTATATTGTATATCTGCTTCTAAGTCATTGTTTTATTTTTATATAGGTTAATAAATAAAAATCTGAGTTAAATGGTGACCAACATGGGTGTGGCTTTGTTGGAAACTTTGTGTACTTATAGTTATGAGAGAGATGGTGTATATTAAAGTTTAAGAGAAAGTCAGTTTAGAACCACTTTGTAATTACTTATTTTAAACTCTTTGACAAGTGAAAAGATGAGAAAGTAAACTTTCACATAACTGAAATTCTTTTTTTTTGGTCCCTTGGATCAACCTCGACCTCATACTTGCCAGGCAGGTGCTTGTGCCACTGAGCTATATCCCCAGCCCAAAATTCTTTATTTGGTTATGGAACAGAATTTGTATCTTTGTTTCTAAAAATATGATTGTACGCATTAATTTTATGTACATATAAAGATTTAAACTATATGGAGTTGAGATCTTTGTTTAATATAAATTAGGTTTTTGTGTGTTTATACTCAATTGTTTTTTGTTCTCATTGCCTCATTTTTATTTAAACAGGCATTGGAAAAGTGAAAAGAAAACCTAGTGTCCCAGATTCTGCATCTCCTGCTGATGACAGTTTTGTTGACCCAGGGGAACGTCTTTATGATCTCAACATGCCTGCCTATGTGAAATTTAACTACATGGCTGAGAGAGAGGATGAATTATCATTGATAAAAGGAACAAAAGTGATTGTCATGGAGAAATGCAGTGATGGGTGGTGGCGGGGTAGCTACAATGGACAAATTGGATGGTTCCCTTCAAACTATGTAACTGAAGAAGGTGACAGCCCTTTGGGTGACCATGTGGGTTCACTATCAGAAAAATTAGCAGCAGTTGTCAATAATCTAAATACTGGGCAAGTGTTGCATGTGGTACAGGCTCTTTACCCATTCAGTTCATCCAATGATGAAGAACTTAATTTTGAGAAAGGCGATGTAATGGATGTTATTGAAAAGCCAGAAAATGACCCAGAGTGGTGGAAATGCAGGAAGATCAATGGTATGGTTGGTCTGGTGCCAAAAAACTATGTTACCATTATGCAGAATAATTCATTAAGTTCAGGTTTGGAACCATCACCTCCACAGTGTGATTATGTTAGACCTTCACTCACTGGAAAGTTTGCTGGCAATCCTTGGTATTACGGCAAAGTTACCAGACATCAAGCAGAAATGGCATTAAATGAAAGAGGACATGAAGGAGATTTTCTCATCCGTGATAGTGAATCTTCGGTAAGTTGGTTTTCAAAAGTAAAAGGAAATAGCTCTGGATATTAAAAAGAAGATTACAGAGGTTAAATGGCTTTCTTAAAGTTAACCAGCTTGTAAGCTAGAACATAAGCATAAATGTTCTGAGGTAATGTTCTTTACAGGTGTATCGATTTTGAATAAGAACTGTAGCAGTATATTTGATCACATTCTCATCTCTGGGACAAAATATCTGATACACACAGTTTAAGGAGAGATTTTTTTTTTGTCTCATGGTTTCAGAGGGTTCAGTTCATGATTGGCTAGCACCAAGACAAACAACATAGTGGAAGGGTAAAAAAAAGCTGCTCAACACTTTGCTGCCAGGAAGCAGAGAGAGAAAGAACCAGAAGAGAGATACACCCTCCAGAGGCATGCTACCCATGATCCACCTTCAATTAGACCCCAGCTCCTAGCAGTATATTCAACTAGGAGCTTATCAGTAGATGAATCCACTGATCAGTATAGTTTTCCCATGAGCCAATCACCTTCTAAGAGTCCCATCTGTCTTCTGGGGGACATTTTGCTTCACAACTATATGATGCCACACTAGGATATTTGACTTTTCCCAGTTATGTTGGTTTTGCTTTCCCGAAGTATTTGCTGTTGTAGTAAACAGGAAAATGGAGAAAACAGTAGTTGGCTTCTTCATTGAGAGTAGACTAATGCAATAGATTTAAGTGGGAAAACCATTTTTTAAGTTGTTGATAGATGCTATATATAAGGAGATAACCATTGTAGTCCTTATCAGAAACTCCTACATTTAAAAAATTCATATTCAGACTTCTTTATAAATTGGTTGTTTAGAAATTAAAATAATGCGTTTTTATATGTCTCAAAACTCTACTTTAAAGGGGCTTCTTTTTTTTCTATTTTCTGTTTTGGTACTGGGAATTGAACGTGGGGCCTTGCGTTTGCCAGGTAGGCACTTTGCCACTGAGCTTTATCCTCAGCCCTCAAAACCTATTTTAGTACTGTGTTTGAAATAGAGTTGTAATGAAAGGTAAATTATGTTGTATTAATAAATTATGAAATCATGAAAATCAAAGAATAATGTAACTGGTGTCTTAGGTATTGTCTAGGATGTTAAAATTTTACGACACTCAATTTCCTTAAAAATTTCCTTTCACTGCTGCATTGTAACTTTCCACTTAGCAAGTCATGAGTAATACTGTCTGTGAATGTAATTGTACAAAAAGAATGTGTATTTGCTCAAAAGATTGAAAGAAAGTCAGGAGGAATTGTGTGTGTTGAGAGAGTGATACTAACTTCCTTATAGGAATCCCTCAGGATGGCAGGTGGTCAGTAATAGGGAAGAGTAGTGAGATCCATTTTCTGTTACATGCCTAATCTGGCCTGCTGTTTGAAACTTTAAGAGTAAATAAATATAAAGAAGCTCAAGATCAGATTTTTCTTTCTTTTTTAAAAGAACTGCCATCATGAAATCCCTGTTCCTGCAAGCAGCATTCACAAATAGGAATACTAATTTCTTTGGATACACTCTCATCCTCTCTGTCCCCTACCTTGACATCTATTTACATTATTCTTTAGACTCAGTTTTCTTATCTGTAAAAAGTGTTTGTTCTGAGCATTGAAGGAGATAATCTGTAAATAAGTTAGCATAGTACCTAATCCTTACTGCACAGATTCTAGCCATTATCAGTTTAATATAAAAATGCTTTAAAATGTTTATGGCTTTCACAGTGTTAACTATTTTTTGTTTTGTTTTTTTCTTTTCTCCCTCTGTTTTAGCCAAATGATTTTTCAGTATCATTGAAAGCACAAGGAAAAAACAAGCATTTTAAAGTCCAACTGAAAGAGACCTTCTACTGCATTGGGCAACGTAAATTCAGCACCATGGAAGAACTTGTAGAACATTACAAAAAGGCACCAATTTTTACAAGTGAACAAGGAGAAAAGTTGTATCTTGTTAAGCATTTATCGTGATACTGCTAATCAGAAGTGACTGTTACACAGCCTTGTTCTTCATGTAATTAAAGACTGAAGAAAGTGTTGATCCAATCCTGCTTGATTGGAAATTGCTGTTTCTAACTCTGTATGAGAATTGACTATAATCCATACATATTTTTTATTATCATTCAGCCCATACATATATACTATATATGCAATGCATCAGCATAGAACAGTTACTTATCCTTGGTCTTTTATTTCACTGTTTTCTTCTTTGCTGTTTTTCTTTTTGCTTCTAATATTAAGGTTTTGTATTTTGAGAAAAAAATCAAATAATGCAGATCAGAAGTCTGTATGGAAGAATTCCTTTATTGCCTTTCCTATATTTCCTTGTAAAGGCACCTATTAGTTCTGCCATAGTTTCTCCTCATATAAAATTATATCTATATATGGCATATGCTAAAAGTAAATTTCTTGGAAAGTGTTATCTTTTCTGTGACTAAATAGCAATAATAAATGGAAAATTAGAAATTATTTGCAGGTTATTGAATTTGTCACCACTCATTGTAAATACCAAATATGTTGTATATGCTAGTGTTTTTTTAATGTCTTCATTGTCTACAGTATACTACAAAACAGATGAAACATAAACATACTATACAATTTTAACTTACAGCTTGAAACAAAAATCTCTAAATTCTTAAAAGATTTTCTTTGGTGCTTTTTTGTATATGGTTAAGACAGTTTGAGATGCTGAACTTTTAAAACTGTAAGGGATATTCTAGTGTTAATTTTTTCTCTGAATGTTGCTTTACCAAAGTTTCTTGCATGTACATGTTAGGTTTATGTTATGTGTGAAAAAGTTACAGCCAAGTTTTGAGGAAATAGACAATAAGATATATGGATTTTTTTTCCTCCTTAAACATACATCAGTAATTGTAAAGGATAGTGGTATTTGCTGTTTTCATTTCCCTCTTTCAGCAGTTTTTTTTTTTTTTTAAAGGATACTGGAGATTAAGCCCAGGCAAACACTGTACTGTGAGATATATCCCTAGCCCTTTTATAATTTTTGGGTTTTGTTCATTGAGACACTAAAATTGATGTATATCTAATGGAAAGATGAAAGATGCTTATGAGAAGATAAAATTGTATTATTTAAAAAATAATACAATGTTTGTTTACCGAGTAGTTTTAGTGTATAAATGGAGGAATAATGTATTAAGTCTACTTCCGCAGGCCATGGGGAGGATCAGTTTATGTATTTTATTAATTCACTCAAACCATCAGTATTTTACTTAAAGATAATTATTAAAACGATATCATTTAGTAAACAGTAGAAAGTCATATATTTTCAAAAATATCCCCAATGCTGACCAAGGATATGAATATTTTCACCCTTTGATGTCATAAAGACATTTAATTCACCAGAACTACTGATTATAAAATTTAATGTGTTAATTTAGGAGGATTTTTTTCCTATTATTTTAACTTTTCGTATTTAAACCTTAAAATCATTTAAAGACTAATGCTGCCACTGGGTGGCAGCTCTCCCTTCTTCCATTAACAACAGAAGTCAGAACACAAGACATTGCTGTTATAAAATTTCATCTTCATTATGTCTACTTAAAAGTGTAAAGCCTATTCATAATTCACTATGTTCCAGAGTATTCCTTTGTTTATTAAGGTAATTATTAATAATAAGTTTCATGGAAATGAAAGTTACATATCTTACCTTTTGGCTGCAAAAATCACATGAATATAGAGGACAACAGTTCGAAGTAGTTATAAAATGAGTGGTAAGCATCCTTTTATTTTTAATATACATTTGATGATGATGATAATTGTTTATTTTTTTCTCCGTGGTTCCCCAGTCTTCATTATGGGGGAAAAAAAAAACGTTTAAAGTAGCAGTTAATACTTTGTATCACAGAAAGGGTTATTTATAGCAGACCCTTACTGAGCTGATATTAATAAAGCAGAATTTTGAGAAAATATCTAGGAATAGAGTAGTACTGAAAGCAGAATTCATATTCTTGTGCCATAATTAGATTTAATATAGAACTGAGTTTGATGGTACACACCTGAAACCCCAGCAGTTAGGAGGCAAAGCCAGGAGGATCACTGAGTTCAAGACCAGCCTGGGCTACATAGCTGTCTCAAAAAAGGATTTATTGTTGCTGTAGAATTCATAATACATGTGTGTCAGTATCTGTGATATTCCCACTTGTGGGATAAAAACTTGGGCGGGAACTATTTTGTACTTCCAAGATGTCAGGTTTTTTTTTTTTTTTTTAATTATTTAACTAATTCTTAGACCAGCGGCTGTTTTTATAAGCATGTATGTTATTTGAAGCAGCTTCCTTAAGAATTGAAACAGCCTTATAAAATAGCTACATGAGCTATAGTAATAGGACTTTTATTAGAAACTGGTTTCCTCATTCCTAGCCCATGATATATATTGCAACATATTGCTCTCTGTGAGCTAGTTTTAGTTGAAGATGGTCCTGGGGAAAAAAATATCACAGAAGTTTTCTGCATATGAGATGATTAGTTATCAAATTTAAATATAGATGTAACATTAATTCTTACCAGCCACTTTTATAAATGTACAAAATCTTTGAAGTTTTTTAGAACATATGCATAAATATATATCTATATATTTAATAACAAGAGCAATTGCTGTTGTATCCCTTATTTGGCCATAAATCCTTAGGCCAGTATATTCACAGATATAAGACATACACATCACATTGTATACATCACATGCACCTAGCACCACTAAAGACTTTGACAGGTCATTGAACAAAATAGGGAAACCAGTGCCTTTGGCAAAATGGGAAGGCCTAACAGATAAGCAATTTAGAATAAGGTCATCCTTGTAGATAAATAGCATGTAGATTACTTCTAGCTGTTGTAATGCTCTGTCATGTAATCCAGTGGTAACAGAGGCAAAGCTGTCATTGTGTAGTACAGTACCTTTGTCAGAATTAGAGAAAGGCATCTTTCTGGCAGACTTAGCACCTTCTCATCAAGAAGTTTGGAATTTACATCCTCACCCCTTGATGGGTGCTTTGTTCAGGTTACAACAAAAAACAATGGTCCTGTGCAGGGATACTGTTCAGCCTACACACAGGGCTGAAGCTGGGTATGCTGCTAGTACCTATAGTACTTACCTTACTTAAGGTTTAAATGGAAATACTCAAGAGGCTGAGGCAAGATGATCGATCCTTTAAACCTAGAAATTCAGGCTAACGTGAACAACATGGCAAAATCCCATTTTTAGGAAAAGTTAACATTTTAAAAAGGGATTTCACATAAAATTCAGTTACGGTTTTCTTTTAAAAACGAGAAACTGCAACAGTGGAATTTAAGCAATCAGCTGGAACCTAGTACAAGTAATATTGTTTATTTTTAACCAGTGTATCTGCTGCAAAAATTAAGTGTAAAACAATCTGTTTCCTAACCCTTATACCACTCTCTAGTTCATGTTTTTGGCTTGGAATCTGCAGATTCTTACTTTTCAGAAACACTTTAAGATGTGTTAGCCAAGTCAGATTTGGAATGTCGTTTGTAATGTGTTTCAACTTTTCTATCATTGAGGATAGGATAGATAATATCCTTCTTTACTGTTCTGAACAGCATTCTTAGACTTAAAACATGGCAGATTACTATGAGTGAGGGGCATTGTTTGGTTTTATTGCAAAGTAGGAAGGATTGGCTTGTTCCTCTCCTGATAAGTTAACTAACTTGGTGTTTGGCGATTTTATGTGATTCGGCTCTGCCATATTGTAAGCTTTGACAGACAAGCAAGATATGCATGCTCCACACCCTAATTTCTTGCTGTTACATGAGCTAAAGCAACTGACAAAAATTGAAATGTATATTTCTAGTTTACTTAATGAGGTGCTCTTTTGTTTTGAAAGTATACATGTGCTAAGACTTGTCTAATGAGAACAAACTGGGTGTGGTGGTGTGAAAAGCAAGAGGAAAAGTTTCACTTATTAGCCATGTTCAGAGGTGTGTTTTAAACTAGTGTCTTTGAGAACAGTTTGCTGTCTAGAGCAATTTCTTTCTATCAGATATTCCAGGGTTGGCCTGCCTGATGCCTGCGGTAGCTTTGCACAAATGTTTAAGTTGCCGGCAGGAATGCTGCCTCTCAAATTACTTAAAGAGCATGGATACCTCATCTCATTATTTTGGAATAATGTTGCAAGTTTTATTTGTAAATATAACAAAAATCACAGTACTTCGTTTCTTTCAGTATATTTTTGTGCCTCGTGGAATAAATGACTTTCAAACAGGGAAACAGATACTTTAAAGCAGACATATAGTTAATGTATTTATTGTTTTAAGTAAACTTTTGGGTTTAGAGTATGTACATTTTGAAACAATGGAGAAATGACTATAAAGGGACTGCTAGGTATTACCTTTTTAAATATAGTTTAAAGACAGGAAAAATTATTAAACTTTTGTTTTTGAGCACTTCAGGAGGAAATTTGCATTCCCTGAGTAACTATAACTTTGGAGCAAATGATGTCAAACTTGTTTTGATAATGTTTTCTGGACTATAGATAGACCTAAACAATGTCACCGAAAACAAACGCTGATTTCATCTGGGGATATGAGTATTACTTGGTGTCAAAATGAAAAAAAAAAAAAATTTAGTCTCAATTGTTGTAGTTTGGATGTTGAACGTCCCCAGCCCACAGCACTACTGGTGGAACCTTGAGGAAGTGTGTGTTTAGTGGAAAAAGTTAACTCACTGGGTGCATGCCCTTGATGAGGCTCTTCCAGCTGGCTCCCTGCTCTCTCTGCTTCCTGGATATCTTGCGCCCCTGCCATGATGTATCGTCCTACCACAGATCCAGATTACTGAGGTCAAGTGACGGTGGCCTGAAACCTCTGAAGTTGTGAGCCAAAACTTCATTGATTCTCTGGGATATTTAGGTATTTGTGTCCCAGCAACAGAAAGCTTTAACACTGATGTTCTATCAGTGCATAGTTAAAATAGCTGTTGAAGATAATTGTCCATCCAGCTTCAAATAGTTTACTGCTCAGGTGCAGACTATTCAGTTGTGGGTATAGGAAAAATGGACAAAGGTTTCATAAACCTTCAGCTGCAGTGGTGAGGGCTCTGAATTTAAAAATAGATTCATCAATCAAGAGTGAGGTTGAGGGTGTTGGCAGAGGATGATCAAAGGAGGTCTTAGATAAAATTGACCTGTGAACGAATTGTGTGCTCAAATTACAGCACTAACCGGTGATTGAATGAAAGAACAACCAAAACCATTTGAAAATCATGTGTAGATCTTCATCATTTCACATTATTTCTGGTTTTCAAATTTTAAAATTGATTAAAATTGTTTTATTTAAATAGGGAATTTTTAACTACAAAGAACTATTTTGAGTGAATTCTGCTTCTCCATCTTAAGAGTTATTGGGAGATATATAGAAAAAAAAATACAAAAGGACCACAGTTTGGCAGTTAAGTAAGAATTTTAAATCTAATGCTACCCTAAGGAAAGAATTGAGGTCAAAGGAGATTAAATGCTTGATCACCAGCCAATAAGTAATTTTTAAAAATTGAAAAGCCAAAAGTATATTCAGAGGTGGTGAAAAGACATGGGAGCTCTGAAAGTTGGAGCTTGACAGTCCAGAGTTGGAGCAGACTTGGTGGAATTAGAAGAGTCTTAAAAGGAATTCCACCGTTTAAATTCCCGTGTTACTACTTCCTCCTCCAAATTGAGACAGTAGATTACAACTAAATGTCAGATGTGCTAAATCACAGAACATAAAAGTTTAGGAATGTTGGTGCAAAGGGAAAGAACAACTATGTTAAGAAGAGCGAGGGACAGTTACGGGAATGGAGTAATTGACCATCTAGACTGACCTGGCTCCAAGACCTTTACTGGACTCCAATTTTGTACTCTAGGTTCTTCCCTGTTCATTCAAGTCCTGTCCCTGAAGGGCACAGAGGGTTTAGGAGTCTCTTGGTCATCAGACTTCTCCCTCCTCACTGCTGCTTTTTAACTTTCTAGTAAAAACCTTTTTTTTTTTTTATCTGCTTTTCCTCCCATAACTAAATATCAAGGATTAAAGTGGAAAATATATATATTAGGATATGTATAATAGGAAATACACCCCATTTCTAGATCATGCCTTCTTACAATAAATAGAACCATTCTTCCAATAGTCCATCCACAGACATGGATGATCATGTAACTCCACAAAAGACCGAGAGTTAACCAAAGAAGCACAGGCAGCAGGAGAGAATGATTTGGTTTTTGTATTTTCATAGGAAGATCACAAGTAGCCGATCAGATAGCATAGAAATAACAAGATTAACAGTGGTACAGTGCACAAGGTCCAGAGTTTGATGCCTGATTTAAAAAAAAAAAGTCAAAGTTAGGGGTATCTAGGTGAGGGTAGAAGTTAGCAGGTAGGCATTGCTCTGCAAAAGTCCTCATGCAGTAAAATGGATAAGACATAGGAGGATGGTCTGACCCAGGCTTGAGAATGACCATCACTCAAATGTCCTGATAGCAGGGAGTGGTGGTGCACACCTGTAATTCCAGCACTTGGGAGGCTGAGCCAGGAGGTTTTTAAGCCAGCTGAGACCCTGATTCAGAGATAGAGAAAGAGCAATGGCATTTTCCTTTAGTGCCCTTTTAGATACCTGAGCCTAGCCATTTTTAAAGACCTATGTGTCTGGCACTATGCTCATATGCTTTGTCTGCATTCTTCTATTCCTATAACCAATATGCAAGGCATTATTGTACTTACTATATAAATAAAATCCATGAGCCTCACAGAGTTGTTTTCTTCTGCTTTGCATCAAAAGCACATGATTTTTTTCCCATCTACTCAATGCACAGATATTTAGCTTTTAGTCCAAGACCTTCACTGAAACTGTTAAGATTACAAATGACAAATCTTGTTAAGATTACAAATTGCTAAATTTTCATTGATCAATCACTCATCCTCAGCACTCTGCTGGGATAGTCACTACACTACACTCTGACCCATTCTTTGCCCCCTCTACTTTCCATGTCTTTGTCTTGGTCTGTAAATGTGGGTCTTCTTCAGCAGTGCATTCATAGCTTCTCAGCAGCATGTTCTCCTTGGATGATCTTATCACTAATGGTGAGATACCAGAAGCAGGGGAGAAGGTACCACGCCATTGACATCCATGAACTTGAGACAAAGATTATTTAACAAACTGGAGATTTCCCCACCTGTGTGAGCATCTCAAATTCAAGTATCTCAAATCGAATGCAGACATCTTTATCTGTATCTTCCCAACCCTGCCTGCACTAACCCCACCCCATCTTGCTCCTCTCTTTATTTCAGTTGAGTTGCTGCCATCCACCTACTACTACCCAAACCCAGAACCTGAAAGTCACGTTTGGCTCTCTCAGCATCTCCCAGTTCATTGAGTATTCAGAAGCTGTACCTTCTATATCTTTTAAATGTCATGTCTCACATGTGGAAAACCCACTGTAGGCCAACAATACCTTGTGGCCTAGATGACTGCCACAGCCATCCATCCGTCCCCCACCCCTGCCAACTGGCTCCCTTTACTAGTAATCACCTTAGTCATAAACTTTTAAGGGAACGCCATGATCGATTTGAGTTTTGAACCCTTCCTTTGACCTCGACCTTCATTCTCAGGTTAAACCCCAAGCCCCTTTGCAAGACTTTGAAAGCCCCCTGGAATCCTACTGCTGTCTTAGTCCCATCTCTTGTCACTTCACAGACTTCTTATGGTTTCATAAACAAAATAACTGGCTGAATGGTTTTTTTTTTTCTTTTGGTCTTCACAGTTTATTAGTCATAAAGACACCACCTCCTGAAGGTCTTCTGTGATTCTATAGGCTGGATTAGATGTTTCCAAGTGCTTCTGTATTCACTTGTGAATATTTTTATCACTGTATTTTCAACAATGACTTAAAATTATTTCCGTGTGCTTCTCCAATAATTAGGAAGTTCTTTTCAGAGGAGCAAGAACAGTTAAATACTCAGGATTGGTGCTTCCAGGGGAGTCCACCACTGCTTCACTGGAAAGAGTAGCCAACTGGGATTATAAACTCAATACCAGGGGCTGGGGATTTAGCTCAGCGGCATAAACACCTGCCTTGCAAGCAGGCAGTCGTGAGTTCAATCCCTGGTACCGATAAAAACGAAAAAGACAAAAATAAATAAATAAATAAATAAATAAATAAATAAATAAATAAACCAGAAATGAGTTAAAGGGATGGGGTTTTAAAAAAAGACATGTTATTTGTTAGGAGGAAAAAGCAGAAGACAGAAAGCTGCCCTGAAGATGGGGCAAGGGTTTCCAGAAAAACTGGTTCCTGTGGGCCTCTGTGCTTTGCTTCTGTTTATCTGGAGATAAGGGCCCTCTCTCCCAAGGTGACACCTGGTTGTGAAACTTGTCACAACCTTAATTGGCTCTCTGGAGAGTCATAGATGGATCCCAGACCATTGGATGCAAGCCACATAGTCTATGTGCAGAAGGCTTTGGTGGGCTTAGATTTCTTGCCCATTTGTCCTTGTCAAGGCCTTATGTCTGAAATTTATAGATTACCTAAGAGGAGTCTTAAGAAAAGGCAACTTAAAATTAGTGATTAGGACTAGGTATATAGCGCAGCGGTACAGCGTCTGCCTTGCAAACACAAGGACCTGAGTTTAATTCTCAGAACCAAAAAAATGCAGGTAGTGATTAAGGGGATGAGTGTCATCTAGTGCAGCAACATAAGAATAGGAATGCATATACGGTAATGCCTCAGTTCACAAACACTTCCATTTACAAATAACTTGGTTCAAAAACAGGCATTCAGCAAAATTTCGCTGTATTTGGAAACCACATCAGGTGATGAGCACAGCCGCAGCCATCTGCCCCACACAGACACAAACATAGTTGTCTTCCCCATAACTGTAAAGCAAATTGTTTGTAAACTGAGGTACTACTGTATATTATTATATAGTTTTCCTTTAGGTTAGTAGCCCTCTGCCTGTTTTGTCTCCTTTCCACCTTATTGGAGGTAGAGAGGGGTGGCTATCTTGGTTTCAGGCACCTGACTTCCCCGTGCTCTTCTCAGTCTGCCCTCTAATGTAAGTCCCAGTGCTATTTGGTGCTTTTCTTCATCTGGTTTCTTCTTTTTATCCTTGTCCTTTTAATTGCTCCCTCCAGTAAAATTTTAACTCTTCCCAGCCAGGATTATCCAGAAACTCTGATGAGCCCTTTATTTCCCTGCCTACCAATCTCTTTCCCCTGCAAGATCTAACACATAATAGGCCCTTTTCCCAAGGTTACATTGCAAGTAAGTGCTGCAGCCAGAAACAAAACATCTTCTACTCTAAAACCCATGTTCATGCCACCATTGCATTTGCATATTAGGATGCTTAAAGTTCTTTTTTTTTTTTTTTTTTTTTTGTCTTTTTCCTTTTTATCGGTACCAGGGATCGAACTCACGACTGCCTGCTTGCAAGGCAGGCGCTTATGCTGCTGAGCTAAACCTCCAGCCCCTAAAGTTCTTGAAGAGTCAGAATTGTTTTTGGATTTGAGTGTGAGTGTGAGTGTGTGTGAGTGTGTGTGTGTGTGTGTGTGTGTGTGTGTGTGTGTACGTGAAAGTCTTTTATTTTAACAGGGCTTGTGCTGCAGCACAGGGGCGCTAGTGCCCAGGAGAGCACACTCCTAGACTAAAATCAGAAGAGTTGAAGTTTAAGGGGCCAACTCAATTATAAGGTTTTCCTTCCAATGTTAAAAACTGATTCTAATTAATTTAAACTATGCATTCCCATAATACTTACACAGTATAAAAATGATATTCAGTAAAGAGTCCTTCCCCCATTTTTCACTTTCATTTTTCCAGTTCCACTCCCTCTGCCTCCTGTTAGTTTCTTGTATCTCTAGGTCTTCTTTTTGACAAATGCATGAAAATATGAAGCTCTGTGTTCACCTTTTAAAAATATCTTGCCAGGTGAGGTGGCTTATACCTGAAATTCCCCAGCATACTGGAGGCTAAGAAGGATTACCACGGGTTCAAGGCCACCCTTGACTATATAAGGAGACCCTGTCTTGAAAATTTTAAATAAGTGTTAACTTAAAAAAATTTTAAAAATTTTTTCCATGTAGGTGTATATTAGCAAAAAGAGTCGATAGGTACCCCACCTGAATAAACTCAGAGGGAAACTTGGTAAAGGACAGTTGTGTGATGAAGGGAAGAATATTGTGCCTGCTCACTGACTACTAAGAATACCTTCCCCAATCCACAGATTCTGTGCTACAGAGATTCCCCCAGGCAAATTCTCAAGCTCCCCAGTGTTGCCTTCTAGCCACTCCCCTTGCTGTAATATCTGGGTTTGGGCGAAAGGAGGGTGCTGCACAGCCCGCCCCTTCTGTGTTGTTTGAGCCAACTCCCCTTTCCAAAACATAACTGCAACCCAGTTCTCAGTTCCATCTTGCATCTGAAGCGAGTTGGCTGGAATGGACAGAATTCTTCATTGCAAAAGGGAACGGTGTTCCAGTTCAAACCAAGTCTACAAACAAACTCTAACGATGATCCTGAAAGGGAACTGGGCAAGTCTTATCATGTGGCTTTTCCACGCCTTGATTCCATGTTTGCTCACAGGTAAGTAGGAATTAGAATTCATCTGAAAGTTTGGGCCTTGAATATAGGTTAAGAAGGTGAAAAATACTTCCTGGGTCTTGGGTTGAAATGTATGTATAGAGCAGTATTTTTTTTTCTTGGTCATTACAGAAAAGATATCCCTATCATTTAAAAAATAAGTTGGATTTGGGACTTTTCTCTGCCAGTAAGATCATATACTTTTTTCTCCACTCATAACTTCTTGTACTTACCTGCTTTACTGTTCCAAAATTGCATGCTGATATTTTGTCATATCAAATGGTATATAAGAGAAATTCCTAATTTTAGTATTCCGAGATTCTGGTCTTTTGTGGTGTTAGTGGGAGCCTCAGATTTCTCTCTCTCTCTCTCTCTCCTCTCACTCAGAAGTACTTATTCTAATTAGTTTAAAATAGGCAACAAATCAGTGCAAAGGCACTCAGCAGATGGTTAGAACTGGCTCAAACATCAAATGTACTGTGTTCCTTCCTATTCCCTAAACCTTTGCCACTCCCAATTGCTCAGTACATCGAATCCACATTCTTTTTCTTTTTTCCATGATCCAGTACATTTAGGCCCCACCCTATAGTTATTTGACCCTATTTCTCACTATTTCTTTTCTTTTTTTTTTTTTTTTTGTCTTTTTCCTTTTTATCGGTACCAGGGATCGAACTCACGACCACCTGCTTGCAAGGCAGGTGCTTATGCCACTAAACTAAATCCCCAGCCCCTATTTCTCACTATTTCTTTCTCTTTTTTTTTTTTTTTTGTCTTTTTCCTTTTTATCGGTACCAGGGATCGAACTCACGACTGCCTGCTTGCAAGGCAGGCGCTTATGCTGCTGAGCTAAATCCCCAGCCCCAACTATTTCTTGAAAACATAGACTAAAGGCAGCTTCTATCTTCAAGCCAACACATTATACTGTCATTTCTGCCTCCTGGCTTTTATTGTTAACAATTTTCCATCAGAAGCACCATCTTTGGGTCCTTTTCCTATTCCACCCCCATTGTCACTCCAGATCCTTCCTTCCAGAGACCCTTCCCAGACCTCATTTGCTTCTTTAACTTTGACCTCATGTACTTTAGCCTCGGGACATTACTTCATTTTTCAGCACTGGCCTGAGGGAAGAAACTGGACATCTTTCCTGGTGTCCTTAATCCTGTATCATAGGCTGAATAGGTTGATTGTTTGGTTAGTTGGTTAACTGTTTTTTGTTGGGACAAAAAAAAAAAAAGTCAAGGAAATATCCCTCCATTGAGCCAAAGGGATAAGATGGGACGTGGAATGGAAAGTAGAAAGGTCGTGAGAGCAGTCTTTAAATCTTTTCTTAAAAAAAAAAAAAAAACAACGTTTCAAACAGACCTGGAAGTGAGTGTGCTCTTTGGACAGTTATAAACTTATAAAAAAACAAAACAAAGCAACAGTGGTGGAAACCACAGGACATCAAAGTCAAAGGACTTCTGTGTGAGTGTTGGATTGATCACCTCCCAGCTAAGTAACTACTAGATCATGTGCTCTCAATGTTTTCATCTGTGAAATGATCTTAATAGCCACCTGAATGTTGTGAGTTGTTAAATAAGATGATTTAACAAACAAAATCATTTGATGACTTCAACATCTGCCACTCCAAATATTAGTTATTTTTATCTGTTGATGATGAAAATGGATGGTGATGTTGGCAAATAATTGCTTCAGCTGAATTTGCTTTTATCCAGTTTTGATCTTTTTCTGTAGATTGTGTAGGTGCCTGTGATTAGTTCTGTGACTACAGAGACAAATGGGTATATTTGTTGCTTTCTTTCATAGAAATATTTTTGACTTGTTTTGTCCTTTAAAAATAATAGTGTGGTTTAGGAAACTGATCCTTGCTGTCAATAATAACAGTAACAGCAATGGTGATCACAATTGCCATTTCTGAGTGTGCTCAGTCCCTTGGGTTAACAAAAAATTTCTTTTGACTTCTTTTTTTTTTTGGTACCAAGGATCAAACTCAAGTCCTCGCATTTGTCAGGCAGATACTTAGGCTGATGAGCTAAATCCCCGGCCCCCTTCTTTTGACTTCTTACATCAATCCATTTTTGTAATTAATTCACATTTTACATGTTAGAAAACAAACCCAGAAAGGTTCACTTATTTGTCCAAGTATAAATCCATCTAGTAAGTGTGAGAATTAGAGCTTGACCCCCACTTGGCCTGCTCTAGGGTCCATTGCCCTTTGTAATCCTGTGCAGGAGCTGAGCCATTGCACCTGGCCCAAACAGGGAAAGGAGAGACAAAAGAAATGCATAAGTCACTGCTGCCTTTTCCTATGCATTTGCTGTGAAGGCTGCTCGAGGAAAAGATGCCAGAAGAGGATCCAAATGTGAGGAGTTGACTTTCTATGCAGTATGGATTCTTGCCAGGAAGAGATACAGGGATTTCTACCTGGAACTTGGGTCCAGCAGCTTTGTGGTAGAAAGAGCAGGGGTTGTAGCTCAGTACAAAGGCTCTGGGTTCAATCTTAGTAATGCCTGCCCCCCACCCCCGATAAAAAAAGCTGGGGCCTAAATGCAAAATAGCATTCCAGAATGGATCCTGAAACAGAGAAAGCAAAACAGAACAAAACAAAAACCCTTAATGGAAATATTGCTAAAATCCAAATAAAATCTGGAGTTTAGTTGTAGTAATGTATCCATATTAATTCCTTAGTTTTGATAAGTGCATCATTGTTGTATGTTCTCATGGGGGGAGCTGAGTGAACAGTAGATGGTAACTCTGTGTAATTTGTCTTTGCAAGTTTTCTGGAGTTCTAAAGTTTTTAAAAAATTTAAAATTGTATGTTAAGAAGACATGAAAAAGGGTAAGGGATGGGAACAAGCCAAAGACAGAAATTAATCTGAAAGAGTTCCCAAAGACCAAGCTGGAAAAATTTGAATAACAAAACAAATAATGATAGTGCTGGATTTTAAACAAAGAATAAAATAAATCTATATGAATTAATATGGATATAAATAAATGAGTAAGGGTGGGTATGGTGGTTGAGGCAGGGCAGTAGCTGTAAATTTGAGGCCAGTCTGGTTACACAGTGAGTCCAAGGCCAGCTGAATTACAGAGTGAGACCCTGTCTCAAAAAACTAAAGTGGAAAAATGGGGATGTAGCTCAGTGACTTAAGTGCCTGCCTGGCAAGAGCAAGGTCCTGATTTCAATTTCTGGTAACCCCCCCTCTAAAAATAAATAAATAAATATTGAGGAAAAAGTAGCTCTTACTTAGAAGAGAATTTGCATTAAATAAAAAATGCTATTAGAATATAACAGCAATAATTGTATCGAATATCTACAAATGTGATGTTGAAATTCATGGGTGAGTTTGAAGAAAAACAGACAATTTACATAATCCCACAGTATCACTCTCAAGGTATTTATTAACTCCATAGACAAAATGATCAACTTTACAGTGGAAACTGCTCCTTAAATAAGTGATCAAGATCATCACTAGTAATGACACAATGACATAATGTACTTTGTGAGTACATGACAAAAATATATAACCTCAGTCAAATCATATGAAAACAGCAAACAAACCCAAGCTTAGAAACATTTTATCAATTGCTGACCCTTACTCTTCAGAAATGTCAAATCATAAATGACAAAAGAGACTGAGAGCAGATTGGAAGGGATTACAGTAACTGGATATGATAACTAAATGGGGCATCCTGGACTGGTTCATGGAGAGTGGAAGTATGAAGGGAAAAACTGGTGAGATTTGAATAAAGGCTGAGGTTTATTTAATGATATTGCTTCAGGATTAATGTTAACTTTCATACTATGGTTAAGTACATTTAGAAGGCTGAGGGAAGGGATATGATGGCAGGACTGGGTTTTTTCCTACGTGCTCTAGGGAGAATGTGTCCTTTGCCATTCCCAGCTGCTACTGGCCACTGGTAGCAGCATGCTTCACGTACTTGCTCCAAGTGCTCTTCCCATGGTTTGTATGTACCATTCTTTGTTTAATCAGTCGCCTTTTAAAAGATATCTGAGCTAATTTCAGTTTCACTATGAACGTTCATGTGCAGGTCTTACATGATAAAAAGTTTTCATTTCTCTAGGATAAATGCCCAAGAGTATAATCAGTAGTTCTGACAGTAATTGTTGATTAGTTTTAAAATTTTTTTTTAATTTTAAAGATAGTAAAATATAATAAAACAAGACAGCACAAAGCCAATCAAGACAATGCAGTGAAATTGGTACAAGACTTCAGAGGAGGATACCAGGATAACAATAATAGGTGTCATAGTATATCTTGTTATCTTCATAATAGTCCATTCAATCAGGTATAGTAAAATCAAACCAAAAACAGAACACTATAAAACCAATCAAAACAGAATATTGAATAGAGCAAAACAATTAATCAGAACAATTAATCAAAACAGTGAAAACAATATTGGCCTTCAAAGACAAAGTGGAAGGAAATCCCCCATATTTGCTATACTGCATAGTGTCATCTTCCCAAGAGATGCTCAGAACTCTGGTCCCAGATCAGCATAATCAACCAACAATACAAGCATTTAGTTGCTACCAATTCTGGCTGACCCAGAAACCACCCAGTTGCTATCAAGGTGTCGGGGTGGGGTGGGAGGAGAGCCATGGGATGTTTGATTCTCAGCCCCCATGCTGGTAGGCTCTTGGGAGACACTAACTTATTCTCTCCCTGTTGCCCATGGCTTGTACCACTTATCAGGAAGGATGGCTCAATGCTTTCTTTGTTGGTCCCAGAAGTTCCAGCATGGCTGATTTCTGCTGATTAGTTTTAAGAGATCCTGCCAAGTATTTTCCAGAGTGAGTGTTACCATTTTTACAGGCAGTGTATAAGGGATCCACTTTCTCTCCTTCTCACCAACATTTGGTTTTGTTACTTTAAAACATTTTTTTTTTTTTGTCTTTTTCTTTTTTATCGGTACCGGGGATTGAACTCACGACCGCCTGCTTGCAAGGCAGGTCCTTATGCCGCTGAGCTAAAACTTTA